CATAAGGTCATATGAGCGCCAGAAGATTAGAGGTGTCTAAGGAGAGTAACAAACATAAAAAAGAAGAAGGGGAGATAAGGACGATAGATGTTTGATAGGAAAGAAGAAGCAAACCACAACAGAGCACCCGCCAACCACCCACCCGAATATTAGAGAGGTGTTACTGAAGAGTAACATCTACAAAGAAAAGGAGGAGGAGAGATCTAAGGAAAATAGACTTAGACGTTTGATAGAAAAGAAAGAGCAAACCACAACTGAGTCCCTGCCAACCACCCACAAACAATATGAAGAAAGTTGACAAGGGTTTTTAGTTTTAGTAAGAGTTTTAACTGAACTTGCAATACTACAGTCATTTATCTAACCCCCCCACCCACCCACCCACCTACCCCTTTCCCCAGCTGAAATAGACCAAAATAATGAAAATCGTAACAGAAACTTCAGCCGAACAGGCTATCAAAGGCTGAAATTTATATGAAAATAACAATTTGAATTTATTTGAATTTAAACTGCGAATCCCAATGCATTTTTTTTCTCAGAAATACAGTTTCCATCCTCAGGAAATCTAATAGAAAAACAACAAAGTTTCCAACCTTCCCCAAGGCACAGACTGTAGGTGCATTTAACTATCACTTCACATAAAATAACCTAGTTGACCACTTCACTCAATATAAAAACAACTGAATCAAGTGAGAGTAGAGGAGACCGCTCTTGACTCCATTACTGTTTTGTTTTAGTAGGCATTTTACGGCGCTCACAACTGCATAAGGTCATCATATGAGCGCCAGAAGATCAGAGGTGTTACAAGAGAGTAACAAACATAAAAAAAGGGGAGATAAGGACGATAGATGTTTGATAGGTAAGAAGAACAAGCAAACCACACCAAAGCACCCGCCAACCACCCACCTCCATAACTATAAAAGAGTAACAAAAGTCTACCCACTGACAGTAAACTGACTGGAAAATCAATATTTTCAGACTTATAAAAATTGAACAGTACAGTGTTATTGGGATTATCAACTAGGTTACAACTGAAATATAGTCCAACCTGCACTAAGGCCACCTGTAAAAGGCAATCACCTGTATAAAAGGTCACTTCCCATTTTCTCCCTTGCAAATATTTTTTTAACATTTTAATGAAAAGACACTGTGTAAGACGTCCACTTATATGAGACAATTTTAAACAAATTTTGACAGTATATTGTAAATCGAGTTCAATAAAGCCACACAAAAATTAGAATAAATACTGTAAAGGTAAGCACGAGAGCGGGCAGTTACCATACAATAAAGACTTATAATTACAAATGTCAAAGAACACACAAAATAATATTTAAAGTTGAAACTAACAGTAAATTATAGGAACAAGGATGATAAATTCTCATTTTCACAACTCTTTGCCAATTTCCATTTATCAAGCCAAAGACTTGCCCATTTTAAAAAAAAAAAAGAAGAAATTTAAAAATCAAAGGAAAAATTTTGTTAAAAACCTAACGGCCAATCTTCCGCTGATTATTGATTAATTTTTTTCTCTTCAAAGACCTGTGAATTTCTCAATCTGAGCCGATGGAGATAATTCTAAGGTTTTACAAGGAGGCAGGACTATAATCTTGTAACCCTTACAGCCCCAGTCACTTGCATATTTCTCTCACAAGTTCTTATTTCCCCCAGGCTGTTACTTAGAAAGTTCCAAGGTGCCATCCACTTGAAACCCAGTCACGTATTTTTTAAATTTTACTGTGTAATCTATACAATTGTCTCGGAAAAGTATTCTTCATACACGTTATCTTCAAAAAAGTTCAAACAAAAGAAGTGTAATAACATTTTTCAAACGTCTGCAAAGAATTTGCTGACACAAGCACTATTGGCTGGGCCTCAGGACTCAGGTACCCTGCCAGAGGAAAATGCATGCAAAAAATAGCTTGGCGATTTAAGGGTTAATTAATGATGAAAGTTAAAACATTACAAATGTTCATGATACGTAAAAACATTTTCAACAAAGAGGGTTGTGAAAGTGACAGTGAAATTCCTGTTTTAAAATTTGATAAAGACAACTCCCTGATTAGATTAAAACCAGACGACCGTGATGATAATGTAGGCCTACTTTAGTGAAAACCATCACGTGGGACACGGGGGGGGGGGGGCAGATTGAGCACGGTGTCAGTAATTAGATAGTACAAGTTATACACCTCCATCAGCACTATCATGTACATCATTTTGGAGGCAGGCTGTTTTGACCCTATTAGTCTGGGCTAACCCGGGCTGAGATTGAGAGGGATACAACAACAACAACAAAAAACCCAGAAAGACAGAGATAAGTTACTTGATAAAATTTCGCCCCAAGACGAAATCAAAGTAGTAATGTCATCTGCAAGCAATGGCAAAATGCCTAAAAAAACACTACTCAAGACAGTTAGATGCCAGTATGGTGGCAGTGGTACACAAGATAACAGTTGCCCCACGGCGGGTGAACATTGAGATTTTAAACTAACAAAACGTAGCATACAAATTGAAATCAAAATGGAAAGGAGCCATTCCCTGAAAAGTGACAAACAAAACACAGGAATGATAACCTGCTGAAATAAATCGAAGCAATAACAGAGCCATTCTTTGTGATTTTTTTTTTTTGTTAAAGGAGGTAGAATCTCACCCCAAAAAAAAAAAGAAGTAAAGAACAGCTTTATCACTGCTTAGAATTTTTTCAGTAGGTCATTCACTGCTTAGACGTTTTTCACTGGGTCATCCATTATCTCCGCATAATGTGTGTCACCGTGGAATGGCCCAAAAAGTCAGGCACGCCAAATAGATAACGTCTGAGCCTCTCTGCCACAACTACTATTGAAACACGCAGTTAAGTGTTTAGACGAAACGGCATGCAGCTAGATCTACTCATCATACACCCTCCACCAACAGACGACTGTTATGAATATTTAAAACTTCTTGACCTAGAATTCTCCAAACGATTTGCACATATATATATATGAGTCACAAATTGGGCATCTTGAGTTCTTGGTATCATTTTAGAGCTTGTTCATTTGACCATTTTTTGATGAACAAAATACATATATGTCTATCTTGAATAGAAGTCAAGATATTTGTTATTGAAGGAAGTCCCCTAGTTATAGAGGTAAAATTAGCGAGAAAATGACCACCAAAGTAAGTTTGGTTATTTCCAAAGCATGAGAGTCCGCGGAAGCTGAAAATTTGTTTTGCCTTTAATCAATGTTTTTCAGTAAAATCCACCCATAGATATTCTTAAATGAAGGTGTTCAGCCAAAAAACAAAAATTAGAAGAAAATCGTCAAACTGGAAGTAAAATGACGAGAATATCTTCAATTTAATTTTAATTTTATTTTAACGAGCACCTGATTTCACCACGATGCCTCACATGAAGAAAATAGCATCTTCTGGCTTTCTCTTTACTTACACTAATACCCCTAGAGGCTAGCCCTGGGCAATACTGGCAAAACTGAGTTCCAGTACTTAACCAGCACTTGATGTCAAGTACCATCAGTACAGGTACCAGTACAGGTAACAGATGATGAAAGAGACTCTGAGAGAGTTTTCAGTCTCACCTGCTGCCTCTCTTTTTCATCAATCTACCCCTCTCCCCCAAACCACCCTAATCATTGCACATCTCTTTTGTGATTTTTCCGCCGTAAGTATTTATTCTGCTATAGATGCTAGAGTGTTGAGGTGGTGGTGGGGTAAAACCTTTTACGGAAAATAACCGTAATATCCCCAAGACAAATATAGCCTTTTACTTTTTCAAGACTTTATAGCATTAAAAAATGGAGTTACAGGAATGAATTCTGTAACGAGCGACCATCCCAACAAACACAATAGATAAAGAAAAGATCTGACCCCCCAACCTCGGTAAGATTGAAGAATACCGTACCAGCGGATTGGGATTAGGCCTACTTTTGCCTCTATATAATGTCTCAACCGTAGGAATTCATGATTTTCCCCAGTTCTTAATGACTCTCAATTAAGAATCTCGGACCGGTAGGTCTAGCCTATTCATTAAAAGTTTGTCAGGGGAGAACCCCTGACCCCCCCCCCCTCCTCCGCCCCCATTCCCGCGCAATAACACGAGTGGTCGGGTATTCTTCAATCTACCCCAACCCTTAAAACCCTACTTCTACCCCTACCCCTCGTCTACCTCTACCTCTATCCTTGCCTTAACTCTTTAAACCCTTGGCCAAGCCCTAACGCTAACCCAAACCCAAGCCCTAACGGTAACCCTAACCTTAATCCTCTATTCTACTTTCTTCCATATTGAATGATATTGGTCGCTTGTTACGGAATCACATAAGTAACAACCATTTCACTTGACCTGACCTGCTAATACTGCTGACAGCTGACATGACGGACTTTAATGTAACTTATATAGGCTATTAGGCTTATTATTTAATATTATCAATATAATTTTGATCTAAATCGAGATCCAGATCTAGGATCTAGACCTATATATGGCTTCGGGTTAGCCTAGATAGAATCTATATATATATCTAGATTCTAGACCCTACAGCCTAGGCTACATGATTCAATTGGTTGGAGTGAAGATGAAGTTTCAATAACTCCCGACAATATCTGACCACGAAAATTAACTGTTTCATAAGATGTGGTATTGAACCAAGGTCATAGTAACAGAGGGACCACGAGGGAGCAAAACCGCCACAGAGTAGGCTGACCAACACTACAACTGATAAGGCATCGTATAGATGGACCTGTCAATCGTAATGTCGACTGCTACTAGGCTACCACCACGGTCTAACAGGCCAAGATCGACAGCTGAGCCTTTCTTCGCCACTGATCCAGGGAAGGAAAAGGCCTGCCCTTGCGATCACAAGGATAGCCTTGCCTTGAACGAGCATGTAAAACGATATTGGATAAACAAACTGTTTCGAAGAAATGATTTTAGTCAAGAAAACTGTCCACAAAACATACAATACGTAATTTATTGTCACCATTGATACCAACCCAAAGTGATAACATACACCTACCTGCTACAGCCGCCATCTTGAGTGACCTATTGACCTGTGTACTGCAATAATATCGATGTAGAGTATCGATACTTGAGCTAGTGCTGAGAGTTGAACCTCTTTCGAATCGACAAAAGTCACGTACGACATGTATAATATAGGTCAACTCTCTCTCTCTCTCTCTCTCTCTCTCTCTCTCTCTCTCT